AATGGGGAAAAAATAAGAACCAAGATGCATTATATAAAGGTACAATTCCCAATGAGAAATGTAATTGTGTTGCATACCTACAATGTACCAATAAAAGAATTTAATACAAAAAAAAAAAAGAATGTGGAAACAGAAATCCTAGCCAAAGATTCACTATTCAACAGAAGCTTAAGATCTCTTGGCTAAAACTTACTAGAAAGAGCAGCTCTAACAAACAATAAAAGGATTTGAGTACCTACTCACAAGAAGCGGAAATGCTGAGTTTTGCTAAGAAGCAATGAGGGATAGGGGTTGAAGGAGCTGGGAAAAGTCTGGACTATGAAACATCTCTTCCTACTAGACATGAAAAAGACGAAAAAGAAAAAGGGGCCAGAAGCCAACAACTTGGAAAGAGCTTATGGGCCGTGAAAGTTGAAGAAGAAACTCATTCAGAAACCAAGTCTGCAATACTTGGACGACAAAGGCAAGACGGAATTTTCTGGCCAAAGTCAACATTGCACACAAAGCCTATGACTTGGAGGTAACCAAAGACTGCACTTCCAGCATCCAACCCTTTCCTACAGAGGGCAAAGCCTGCCTGCAGCAGAGAAGACATAGAGAGGATATCTACGCCCCTCCAGGATCCAAGCTAGAAATCCTGAGAAAAGAAGAGGGTTCTGAGAAAAGGAAGTGGTGGAAGAGGGGTTTTCTCCTGAGCAACTGACACGACAATAGAGCTAAACTAAGAAGCTGCTGGTGGGAAGCTGATGGAGACAGGCCATTCTGTAAACCACAGTCTAGCGAGTAGGATATCAAAGTCCTTGGGATATTTTTTACCTTATAAACACGTGTACTCATAGCATCCTCTCAAAACACGATGAAAATCTTTTAGAATACCACAGTCCTTTGCTAGTTTAGTACTGAATGTTACTAGGAAGACCAAGACAAAAAAGAGGCTTCTTGTGGAAACCCATTGGCAAAGGGAGTAACAAGCATAAATCTTATCCCTACCTGATAGCTTCTTCCACAGACTGGCCAATAATATTAGAAGATGGACCTGGCTGAGACAGTGGTGTCAGGCTTATCACCCACTTCACTGGCTTGTAGTGCTCATCACTGGAACTTAACAGATAAAATAGTGTGGTCAGGAAAATTATCTGCAAAACAAAGGACAGTATCTCCTAAAAAAATCACATTTGGGAAAGTGCAGGTAGACATCCACAAATGCAAAAAGAACCAGGAAAACGGAGCAGGACCTGTGACATATACTTATTAGCCATACATACCAGAGAGAGTACGAAATTGAGGAGGGCAGTGCCACTGTAGAAAAGGATGGTTAGGAGCGTGGTGACCGTGGTAAACAGCAGGCTCACATTCCGGCTCATAACAATCCACAGGGACTCCAAGATCTGATGGGAGGGAAAGCAGGATGTGAGCGCTTACGTGAAAGGAGATGCCACAGCCACCCTGTGTGCTTTTAATACAGCATCTTACTATCATAAATGAACAGATAAGAACCGAGGACTATTTTAAATGAAAGGGAAAAAGTCTATCAAAAACATCTGCATGTTTAATAGTAAAGAAAATGGCTAAGCACAGTGAATCTACATCAAAAAATATTAAGCAGCTATCAGAAATATCTAAGAGAAAATATTTTATTATAATGCCAAGTTTTAAAAGCAGAATACAAAAATTTTATATACAGTATAACTATGTAAAAAGTGAAATGGACATAAAAATGCCTACAGGAAAATATGTCAGAATATGCCCTGTGTGTATTTATCTTGTAGGATCTTAAGTTCCCGTATTTGTTGTTTTAGCTGGCTAACCCCCACCTTTGCCATCTCCAACTCAGATTCAACTCCAAATATACAAAGTATAACTTTCATGACCATTAAAATCACAATAAAAGCAATGATTGGGTCAAAGGCAGACCACTTCCTGAGATACATACTGCCTACTACATTGAGACCTACTGTCTGCAGTTGACCCATTACCTGAGAATTCACTGGAGCCAGATTTCAACACGATGGTTATCATACACTAAATATGCCTAAAAGAAGATGTATGATATCTATAGTACACCTGCATGCTTTCATTTCTCATCTCTCCATGAACTTAAATTCCCTCAAGATAGTGTCTGTTCTATTCTCCCCAAGTGGACTATCCTTCCTCTCAATGAAAAACATGGAAGTAAAATGATCAGAAAAACATCTTCCTTTACAGTTTTCAAAATTCTTCCACAAACCTTAGCACAATGCCGTGAAGGAAGCAATGCAGATGACAGCATCTTTATTTCACAGATATATGTGTGTGTGTACGTATGTATGTATCTATCTATCTATATATATATAAACTGAAGCTCAGAGGCTTTTAAAAATGTGTCCAATGCTAAGAAGTAGCATCAGAACTCCTAATGTCTGATTTTTACTTTGGTGCTCTTTCTGAAACAGCAGTTCTGTTTTTGTCATATGTTCAAGTTATACCATCTGTTCTATGAAAGGCCTATCCATTCCTTTCCTACTTCAAATGTATCATTTATAAAAGGCACATTTTGTTGCCCTCCGCATTTGTTGCAAACCTCAGCTCAGTCTTCACAAGAGATTTTCAGCAGTCTGGTTTCATTTACAAAAACTTCTTACATAAAAATCTTGAAAATTTTTCCTGATGCCTACAAAATATGCATGATTGACTGTTTGACCCTGTCGAATAAAGAATGAATGAACAATGCCATTGATTCCAAGAAACAAACCAACAATGCCTTTATTTTTGATTTTGACAAGCATTCTTTCTGAGGCTGAGTCACTCTGGAATTTTTATGAAAAAAATTTCAAATAGTTTCTGAGTCACACTGATAAAAAATACCCTGTGGTAATTCTTAAGAAATTAACTGAATATATTAACTGTATAATGGTAGTCCCCAACAACAATCAAGTAACCTTTTTACTTGAAAGAAAAGGAATTAAAGGACTTTTCTAGAATTATTAATTAAATTTTTAAAGTAAAGTAGTTTCTAATAAATACGTCGGGTTTAGAAAGGAAGAAATAAAGGCAGAAACAATAGCAGGGGCCCTAAAACTCTGAATATGAAACAGACCAAATGTATTACAGATAAAAAGTAGAAAATATGAGCCAAGTTTTACATTAACTCAATCAGTAGTAGCAACAGAACTGAAAGAATGTCGAGAATAGATTAGTTGTATGAAACATACACAAAACACCCAGGAATTACATTCATTGGTCATTGACAGGTGGTTTGTGCTATGGATTGGAGATGACCAAGGAAGCCTCACCATCCTCCAGCTGATCTGCATCCTGTCCTTTTGAGGCCACTGTTCACCAAATAGCCTTTCAATTATTAATTTGGTTTCCTAGGTACTTATTGAGAGCCATCAGCCTACCTGCTATGGAACCAGTGAAGACTCAAAAGTAGCAGTTTAGAAAAAAAAGAAAGACTAGAGTATTACAGGGATGCAGAAGTTAAAGTAAGAGAAAATGTTTCTCTGAGCAGGAGCAAGCTGTCTCTGTCTGCCTCAAAGTCTGAACAGAGCCCAGAGATACAAGCTACATGAACTCCACTGTCCATCTCTGGCTCCTCTCTTCCTAATCTAGCTACAGAGGAAGGGAGTTGAGCTAGGTGAACTCAAAACACCATTTCAACTTTGCCACTCCCTACTTCTAAATACAAAATTATTATTCATGCTATAATAAGTTCCTCATAAACTGACAATGTAACACCATGCTAGATTCTAAAGCAGTGATAAATGAGAGTCTTTCTCCCTTCAAGAACTTAAAATCTAGTCAGGTAAACTAGGCATAAATACCAAAGAGTTAAAAATGGAAGAAGAAAGTAAAAATTCAGGTATCAAAAGAAGGGCAAAGGGCCGGGGATTTAGCTCAGTGGCCCTCGCAAGCGCAAGGTCCTGATTTCGATCCCCGGTATAAAAAAAAAGGTGAAAATGCTAAATGCAAGAGGGTAAGAGGAAAGTAGGGGAAACCTCAATTTGTTCTAAAGTGCACTACAAAAAGGTCACACACCATAGCTCTAAGCTCTCTACTTATTACAAAATCAGAAAGAAGCAGACAAAACAAATCAAATAAAAATACAAAGGTATGAGACAAAGAGGATGAAATACAGTTTGGAAGATAATGCAATTATTATAGCAACAGTCTGGACTCTGGAGCCAAGGAAAGAAAAAGTGAATTTGAACACTCTTACTAGGGTATTTAACACCATTAATCCTGTTTGCTAGTAAAATGAAGGCAATTATATTGCTTTTGAAGACTTTATGAGAATTCGATTAAATATTTACAAAGCACCAAGCTTTATTTATTTCATATATCTGTTATGAAATATTTGATATAAAAATCACTAAAGAATCACCTACTCCCTCAACTGTCCACTAATCGATATGTAAATGTGTTTGGGCATATAAGAATTGTACCTATCTAATTTGTTTTGGACTACATGGCTAAATTGTTTCATTTTTAAAACTGCCTATCCTTTTCATTCCATAAAAATTTATAAAATTTAAATAATTTTTCTGTATCATCTATCTTAATTTGATTCAATAATGTCATTTCACTAGTCAGAAGCAAATCCTTTAAAATCAACTAGTAAGAAAAAGGAAAGAAAAGAAAACTCAATACTAAAGGCTCAAAAGACACAAGAAAGATTCAGTAGTTTTTAGTTAGCACACCTGAATTTGAGGGGAAAACAAACATTCAAATGTATTATTAGAGGATAAGCTATCTTCTGAAAGTACTATCATTAAAAAGCTGCTGAAGAGCCAGGTGCAATGGTGTATGCTAGCAGTTCCAGTTACTCTGGAGGCTCAGAGAAGAAGACTGCGGGTTTAAGATCAGCCAACATGCCAAGACCCTGTCTCAAACAAAAAACAAAAAGCTGCCTGGGAAGTCCATGAAACTGAGTGGAACCTGCTGCCCACTGGGCTTGTCTATAGGCTGGCCTGGCTAGACCCTTCCAACTGGCTGTTAGTGTTTCACTCTTAATAAGGAATACACTGCCAGGGGTCACCAGACATTTGAGGATACCCTCAAAGGTGAAGAGAGAGCAAAACAAATTTTAAAGAAACTCAGAGCAAATGGGGCAGTAGATATTTTAAAAATTTAAATTTTAAATTAAATTAATTTAAATTTTTAAAAATTTAATAGGTCATATGCATGTATGAAAATACCACATCATGACCCGGTATTTTATAAAATATACACTAATAGAAAATACATTTAAATATTTTATTAGTAGTATCCTCAAAGAAACAAAGAAAGGTTCAAAATATAAGAACTGTTGAATATTATGGGAGCAGAAATAAAAAATTCAACAAAGGTTTCAAAAGTAAAGCTGAAGCCAGGGGGTAGGGGTGGGGCAATTCAAAAAGAAGAAAAACAAAAAATGTTTTAAGAGTTAAGGACTCCATGTTGAGGCCCACCCTCTGACTGAAAGGCAGTTCAGAAAATCAGGCAAGTGGTTCTCAAAGTGTGTCTCCTGGAAAAGTGATATCTCCAAGACCTTTTCTGAGGTTTTGTAAGGTCAAAATACTTTCCTCACCAGGTATGGTGGAACACACCTGTACTATAATCCCAGCACTTGGTAGTCTGAGGCAGAAGTCAATGTGGGCTACACAGTGAGTTTAAGGCCACCCTGAACTACATAGCAGGACCATGTCTCAAAAAAAAAAACAACAACAAAATTTCCCTCACAATCCTCCATGAGGGCATCTACACTGTGAGTGCGGTGACAATCGAGGGCTGGTAGGGCTGCTGGGCCATGGCAGGAATCAGGGCAACACCTCACTGCTCTCCTGTTCACTGTATTCTTTACCACAAGCTCAGCACCAGTATTACTCAAGAATTCCTTTACACAGCAACAAAAGTTGAGTTTATTTGAATCAGCCTTTGAATAGCTCTTTAATATTCTGCATGAGAAAACAGGAAGTTACCCCGAAGCACTCCTGCTGCTCACCAAAGTGCGAGAGCCCTGAGTGGAAAGCACTGGTGTGACTGAGCTGGGAGTTGAACCAGGTGATCTCTGCACTGAACATCATGTCTGTAACAAAGAACACCTAGCAGCCTTAGCATTTCACAGAAATTTCCTCCAAAAATGAGTAAAGTGTCACTTCCAGGAAATTCACTGACAGTGTGTGCTGTCAACAATAAAATTTGAGTCTTTAAGGAAAAAAAATCATAATTTTGGAAATTTATTTATCAGTTACTTGTGACCTTGACAGCTTCTTAAATTTTTTTCTAATAAGTTAGATGATTGTAAAGAATGTGACTTTTTAATACTGTGTTTTTAAAAAATCTACCTTTCGAAGTCAGTGAATCAATATTCCAAACGACTAGTGTATGTTATAAAATCACACAGGGGTAAACAAACACCCCTAGTTAAGACAGATCAATGGACTTTACTACCCCACAGTGCAAAAGTTCAATGATATAGTTTCAAATTCCACACTACAACTATCTTTTTAAAAATACTATGCTCAGAAAAAAAAAAAAAATACTATGCTCAGGTTTGGTGTAGTATCAAAGAATAGCCACAAGAAAGGCTGTTAAAACTTCCCTCCCTTAGCCGGGCATGGTGGCACACACCTGTAATCCCAACATTCTAGGGAGGGCTGATGCAGGACAATCTCAAATTTGAGTCCAACTTGGAAAAATTAGTGACTTAGCAAGATGCTCAAAATAAAAAAGAACTGAGGGCTGGGGATTTAGCTCAGTGTTTCCGCCGTCTGCCTCACAAGCGCAAGGACCCGAGTTCATTCCCCAATACCAAAAAGAAAGAACTGAGGATGTAGCTCAGGGCAAAGGCCCTAGGTTCAATTCCCTGTACCACCAAAAAAGAAAAAAAATCTCTCTTTTTTCCAACTAGGTATCTGTGAGGCTAGATGTTCTTCATATATTTCAACCAAAACAAGCATATCTCCACAGACAGAAGGCAGAGCAGATATGAGAATCCAGATACTAAATAGATTTGCAAAACTTAAAAGAAAACTACACTTCTTGGTAAATCATTTTTTCACTTTAGAACTAACCCTAAGTGTTTATGTTAACATGTAAGGTTATTACTTAATGAACAGATAAATAATGCACTTCGGAATCCCTAGGCCAAAAAGCTTGAGAATCATTGGACTAGAGAAAACAGAGGGAAGAGAACATCAAAAACGTAAAACAGCTGGGTGCCGTGTTGCACATGAATAGTCCCAGCTACTTAGGTGGCTGGAGCAGGAGGATCATTTGAGGTCAGGAATTTATTGCAAGGAAGGGAGAGAGAAGAAGGGAGGGAAGGAAGAAGGGAAGTAGAAAGAGAAGGCGGGTATAAAATAAAAATTTAAGGACATGAATGTCTATAAGATTTAATTCCAAACTATTACAGCTATCTCAGGTGAGTGGAAGGGCAGAGTGTGAGTGCAGGAACATGTTAAGAACTGTTAAGATGGACTTGTAAGGAAGTCACATCTCTACCTTCATCTTCCATATTTGGAAGCCAAAAGATAGTATCTAAAATGGCAAAACAAGAAAGAGCAGTGTAAACATTTTAAAAATTCAGAAGTAAAGACCCAAAGGAAGCTGCTTCGAGAACTGACAGCTATTCCTAGAGATCAACACTGAGGCACATAGTAGAGCACTGCTTTTTTTTTTAATTAAAATTTTAAAGCATTGACGTTTCAGTTATGGTCATGTACTACTTTGATAAAACTTAAATTTTTAAAAATTTAGTACTGCAAACCTCAACTTTTGTTTATTTATTCACAAGAAAATTCTCACATCTGTGAAAAGCCACAGGCCAAGACACCTCACAAAGTGTGCACCTGAATGACACAGAACAGTAATTAACACCCAGCAATGCCACAAGACTGCAGAGGTGCATGTGCAGAGTGGGAAAACAGGGATGCTAAGAAGCTAAGCCTTTGTACACTCAGTCTCGCTACTGAACTGAACTGTATTTCCACATGTCAAGGGCTTTGCCCACCAGAAAAGGACCGTCTGTAGTGGTCCAGCTGGGAACATGCTGGTCAGGAGAGGGGGATGAGGACACCACCTCGGAATCTGAGCCCACACCACTGCTCATATGCTTCAGGATCCTGCATCTCTGTTATTTTTCAGCCAGACAAGTATCAGGGAGACACATCTGAGGACTACAAATTTTGGCCATCTTTCTAGTCCATTTAGAATTCTCAAACATATAAATGTCATGGTATTAAAAACAGGGTGACTAAAGGTCTCAATGTGTATAAAGAAAACCTGAAACCAGTTTCTATTTTTATCTTAAAGTCCAGTTAACTATAAAGAGTATGCCTTACCGAAAGAAATGTCTCAATGTTCTCATGAACGAAGGAGGCAATATCCTGCCAGTCCAGAATGTCTCCCAGCCAGCTGTTCTGACGGCTTACATGCATCTTGTGTCCTTTGTGTCTTCCAGAATGTGTTACATTCTATGGAATAAAACAGTTCATATGTGAAATTTCCATCTTAAAGAGTAAAAATTATAAACATCTCATTTTGCTTTAGGTCCACTTACACACTTCAGCAAGTACTCAAAGGTGAAGAACCATACATTATTTAAGAAATCAACTAAGAACTCTATCTAAAGACCTAAAACATAGTATTTTTCCATTTATACTCTAGGTACTATACCTAAGCCTGGCTCAAGTGCTTCCCTTCTAAATATATTTTTGAACATGTTATTCCTCAGCACTTGAAACAGTATAGTAATATAACATTCACTTCACCTTTTCTTTTTGGGTCTTATACACCTTTCTTGGTTTTCCATATCTTTGCTTTTTTTCCCCCCTCTCCTTTCTCCTTTCCTTTATTCATCATTCTTTTTTGTTTTTGAGACAGTGTCTCACTATGAGCCCAGGCTCGGCTCGAACTCACAGCTATCCTACTGCCTCAGCCTCCTGAATGTTGGGAATACAGGCATGGCCTTTATTCACCTTCCATACAAGATAATAGGGGAGACGGAGGAGACTATGACAAACATGAACTAGGAGCAAAATCTAATTCATGTATCTGTAAGTGATTTATATTGGCAGAGGATGCAGGAATAACTAAATTTGAAAGAGATGAGAATAAACATAGTGACCATGAGGTTAAAATTTAGACATACGTTCTTAATATTTTGCATCCATTCTCTCACTTTTTGAATTTTGCTTCCAATCTCTCACTTTTGCAAATGAAACAGTGATATTCATCTCCATTACACAATGCACAAAGACTTTAGCTTACGGTGAAAGAAGTAAAGAAAACGATATACTTAACCACTTACGTATCTGTGTTTTTTTAAGTCTGATATTTTTCCACTGTAAAATGAGACTCAAAAGGGGATGGGATAGGAAAAGCTGATTGTTAGGAAGCCCCAGAGTTGGCACAGAAAAAAGATATGACCTTTCTAATCTAGTTCTTCAGCAGATGGAATCAAACATACGATACTCTACCTAACATGCCCCTAATTAGTTTTAACTCTCAGTCTTTGAAACCCACAAAAACCAACCCTATTTCCCTAACTCACCCCAGAGCAACAGTGCATAATGGAAAACAGGTCACTAAGCAACAAATTAAAATAAAAGTCAGGCCCCTTCCTCTTTAATCACAAGTTAAGAGATTTATATCTGATTCTCTTCTCCTTACACCAACCCTAGGGGAAAATCACCAGCTCCCCAACCATTATACACACAATATGCTGCCTGAGAACCCACCAGACCTGGGTAGACCACAGCTCAGCAGAACCAACTGCTTTCAACACCATCATTTTTATACTTGGTGAGAGACAGTATTGCTTTCCATTATAAATCTTGAAGTAAGAGTGCATATGCATAAACACCGATGTTGCTTTAAAATACAGGTCTCTATCAACTTTTAGACCTATTTCTACTTCCTCAAAGAAGAAAGTTCTTGATGTCTCGAACTAGACTATATAAAAACAGAAACTAACTTCATGTGCACACTGAGCACCTAAAATTTGTCTACCCCAAAATCTGAAATGTGTGGCTGGTGTAAAATGTACACTAGCTTTTAAATACTTAGCATTTAAAAAGAGAGAAGGATTAAATTATTTAAAAATATAGATATAATTTTTAATTTTTTTTCTATTGATTACATATTGAAATGACAGCAGCTAGGGTATACAAAGTTAGGCAAAATATATTATTACAATTATGTCATCTGAAGGCCAGGGATGTAGCTCACTGGCAACTCACCTGCCTGGCAAGTGCATGGTCCCAAGTTCGATCCCCAGTACCGGGGGAAAAAAATTATGTTGTCTTTTTTAGTTATTTAATGTAGCTATTAGAAAAATAAATCACATATGGATTAACAAGGGCTGGAAGTACAATGGTGGTAGAGTGCATTCTTAGCAGTTCTGACACCCTGGGTTCAATCCCTACCACTGAAAAAAAAAAGTGTGTATAGACACACACACACATCCATGTGTCTTGTAATACATTTCTACTGCACAGAACAAGTCTAAAAAACAAGATGCTGTCTATAAAAATGAGCACAGGATGGAACACTGACACACCAGAGGGATTAACAAGTTCTGCCCAGAGACTAACCACCAATGAAAGCTGACTTTTATTGACCTAGGCCTTAAAATCTTGCTGTTTAAAAACCTCAATAAATGAAATTCCAATGTTAATACAACCCTATCACATCAATGAGCCTACAAAGGAAACCTTTGTTTCCTATGGAAATTTTTAACTAAAATAACTTACCTTTACAAACCAAGAGTGATACAGTCTGTCCCAGAGTTCTAGTACTTGCTTTTCAATTACAGCAGTATTGTTCACCTTGTCTCCTAGAATTTTATGAAGCTAGAAAAAATAAAAATTTACTATTTCAGGCACTGAAATAACTCCAATAAAACCAATAAATACTGAGTCTTCATTTGTTCCAAACCAAATTAAAATGTTCCAGACTTTTAATTATCACTAACCACATTGTTATTCTCTTAAACTGTATTCCTCAATGTTCCCATAACATTCCTTTCCTTTTCTTCTCATATCTTTTTGCTTTTTCTTTCCTCTATTCTCAAGTCTCTAAGAGAACTACTTCAAATAATGAGAGAATGGTGCAAATGAAGCCATTTTTATCGACCTATCTGATCTCATCTACCCAGAGAAAAATCTTTTCCCTGTGACTCCAGTGCCCACAGTTATTCGTCTCATGTTTCATTATCTATATTATTAAGAATTTCCATAAAATTTTAGGACCTTCACTGTAAACACATATCCTTCCCTTTGTTTGCTTATTGAGAGATACAAGGCCTCAGATTACTATGACTGACTGCAGTAGCTTCTAGATTTGTGGAAATCAAATACACAGAAGCAAGATAATCTGTATTCATTATAACCTTATCCTACTTCTTATTTATTAAAACCATATTGCAGTATTAAAGATAATTTCAAAACATTGAACTGTAGTTCCATTTGTTTAATAAAAACTGTTTTCATTTCTCCATGTCTCTGCAACTTTCCATTTTCTTTATTTTTACTGGCTTCCTATTACTTCATTAGTTATATAGTATTACTTAATCATTACCCACTCATAGGATACATAGATGGTTCTCAATTTTTAATGTCATAAGTAATAGTGCTGGGAACACCTTTACACATAGCTATTATTTTTTACCCACAAATAGTAAGATAAATAAACAAGACCCAAAGAAAATGATGGCTCTATGATTACTAAACAGTCTTCTATAAAGATTGTACTGATTAATACTTTCCAACATTGTATGAACAAACCAATTTTCCCAAGGCTTTATAGACTAACTGAAAAACTTTTTAGATAATGTAGCAAGTGTAAAATGGTAACCCATCATTTATCTTTTTTTTTCTCAAGTGATTATTTTTTCCATTTTGGTTTATAATGTGCATTTACTTAACTTCTGTCTACTTGATGATGGCCTTATACTTGAACCAGTCATTAGACACATTTGATGTAAATATATAATTTTGTATTTAATTGATTTATTCATGAACTAGACATAAATTATTGAATATAATAGCCATCTACCTAGCAAAGCATTTTACAATTTAAAATGCCTTTTATGTACATTATCCAACCTTTATAACAACCCCAAGAATTAAGACAAAATGCTTTCGTTTGGCCAAAAATATACAGCTCAGTGCTAGAATTTGCCTGACTCTGTACAATACCCTGGATTTGATTCCCAATACTCCAGAAAAGGGGGGTGGGGGATAAAAGAATGAAAATGGTTTGGTAATCACCTTTGTTCTTTTAAAATGAGAAAACAGATTTTGAAAGAGTCTATGATAAGCCCAAGGTCATGCAGTTAAGTGGCAGTCAGGATAAAATATTCTCTAATGTACTTTTGACTATAGCATTATAACCTATGAACAAAAACCACTTCACCAGAGAAAATTCTTAAAGTGACTAAAAATCACAAATACCCACAGTCTAATTTCCTTTACTTACTTTGAATTATTAGTCCTTTATATATTGTGATGTTCCGAAACTCACTGACTTCCTGCTACCAATATTCCCTGTGAGCTTCTGAGATCTCCTTAGCCAAAAAAGGACTAAAATTGTTAAGTCCACATACAGTGGCCTTTAATGCAATAAAACACTATTTTAAGCTGGCATTTCTTCTAGCAGCCTTACTCCCAGCACAACAGTGAATAATTCTAAAATATCACAATTATTAAAATAAAAGACAATATGGCAAAATTTCAAGTTATAAAATACTAATTTCAAAATCACAGTGCTATCAACCACAGCATAACATCATAGACCCAGAACACTGTTGTGGGGCATTACAATACACACTGTAAATAATGAGGAAGACAGCCAGAGAACACCGAATCTAATGGACTTAACATGCTATCAGGGGAATCACTGAAGCCTATGTGCCGTTGATAGTATATGACATGCTCTCTGCATATGAAAGGCAAGAAAGCAGACCAAGAGCAGTCAGAGCACCACTTGAGAGTCATCTAACTGAAGGCAAATAACCTCACATCTAGAAAGGGGGATAAATGTCAGGGGGCAATTATCTGTACTCATCTTGCTCGAAACCTCAACAACATTGCTGCAGCTACTCAAGTCTTTGTTTTGGTACCGGGGATGAACTCAGCACCTTGCGCTTTCGAGGCAGGCAGCGGAACCACTGAGCTAAATCCCCAGCCTCCAAGTCTTTCCTGATACATTTTCTTCTCTAAACTTTTTGTGTCACATACAGGTTGGTTTTTCTTCTACTTCAAGCACTGCTCCTCAGTTGGCCAGCTGCTTCTCTGACCTCCAAAAGCTCAAGTCCTCCAAAAGTCTATCTTTGGTCCTCCTTTTTTTTTTTGAAGGGGAGGGGTGTACAGGGCCTCAGGCATGTTAAGCAAGTACTCTGCCACTAAGCCATAATCCCCAGCCCTCTTTGGTCCTCTTCTATCTACACTTTCTCCTTTAGCCATTTTTATGGCCTGTAGTATACCTACCCCACTCACATGCTAAAGTCCTATCCACCAATACCTCAGAATGTGACTGTATCTGCAGATAAGGTCCACATTAAAATAAGTGCATTAGCATGGATCCTAATCCAATGTAACTGCTGTCCTTATCTGAGAATAACAGGGCACAGAGGGAAGACCAGATGAGACAGTGACCATCTAGAAGCCAAGGAAAGAGGCCTCGGTAAAAGCCAATCCTGCCAACACTTTGCTCTCAGACATCTAGCCTATCGCATCGTGAGAAGATAAAACTTCTATTGTTCAAGCCACCCATTCTGTGGCACTTTGTTATATCACCTGTAGAAAACTAATAGACACCACTTCACCCAATCCTATGATACCATGTGATAATTCTCCAATCACCATCTATTCCACCAAAGCTCCAGCTGTGCATGTACGATTGTTTTTGTGGCAGTTCTATGTAGCAGGCACCTCAAACTGAATATGCCCCAACAGAATTACTGACCCAGGGTACCAAAAAAAAAAAAAAAACTAGCAGAATTACTGACCTACCTATGATACCTAACCCCATCATCCACCTCCATGTCTTTTCCATCACAGCTATCCTTCTAGTTGAGCAAACCAAAATTTCCTTTCCTTATACTTTATACTTTATGTCTAGTCCATAAGTAACTTCTGTTAGTACGTCAAAACTATATCCCAAATCTGACCATTTTTCTCAATTTCCATGTCCACAATCCTGGTCCAAGTCATCAATATTTCTCACATAAGCTATCAGAATAACCTTGCCTGCCCTCCCACCTTCTCTTTTCTTGATTTCTTCCCCAAAAACCTGCCAAAATGAGCTTTTAACACCCTAAATCGGGTAATATCCCTTTCTATTATGTTTGTATAATGTTCGATTCATAACTGAAATAAAACCCCAACTTCCTGTCATGACCTATCGCTTGCCCCATTTGCCTCATTCCCTACTCCAGCCTCACACTGGCCCTTGCACTGGACTTCTTTCTGTCCTTCAACCAAGCTTGTTACTTCTCACAGCCTTTGATTTTTTCTACCCTCAGCTTGACACATCCTTTTCCCAGACCTTCACCAATGGGGCCTTCTCCTCATTCAAGTCTTAGTGGAAATGTCACCTTCTCAAAGATCTTTTCTGGACCCTCTAGTCGAAGGACCATTCTGAGTCACACTGTACCACACTGCCACAGCTCTATCCACAGCTCTTATTAGCACCTGAAATCACTGTTTCTTTCTATGCTTAGTGACCTTTTCTCTCCACTATTTTCCCCAGCACTTAGCATAGTAACCACTCAGTTTATAGACTGGTTGGCACTTTCTCCATTCGGTCATGGCAGAAGGAACAGAGGAGACACTTATTTTCTTTCTATTCCAAGGTAGTATCTCCAGAAAACAAATTTTAGAAATCTGTATCAAAAAAACAAAAGGATATCAAACAAAAGGATAGCTTGAACGAGGATGCTAAATGAGGAAAGCCAACTGGGAGGCCTACACAGAACCCAAACAATATGGAGGGATACAGGAGATAAGGCTGACAAAACAGGCTGGGGCAGATAGAAATATTCTCCACCCTAACCTAAGCACACCTCAAAAGACTTTTTCTGGCATGACATTTTTTCCTAGCTTCAGTCCTCTCTAGATATTAGCTTTTATATCCCAATTATTACACGAGTCTTAGCTACATATGATCTGAGGTTTAGGGCCGGGGATTTAGCTCAGTGGTTCTGCCACCTGCCTTGCAAGCTAAAGGTCCTGAGTTGGATCCCCAGTGCCAAAAAAAAAAAAAAAAGATCTGAGGTTTATCAGAAAGTTACATCTGCAATTTCAATTGGCTGTGTTTTAATACAATTTCACTGAGATACGATTTAAATGCTTTATAATTCAGCCAGTTAAGTATACAATTCAATGGTTTTATGTAACCATTACTACAATTAATTTTAAAATATTTTCATCAGCCCAAAAGGAAACCCCATACCCATTAGTAGTCACCTCCCTCCTCCCCAGTACCCCTTATTCCTGGAAGCCACTCTGTTTTCTTCTCCATAGATTTGTCTCTTTTGGATCTTTCACATAAATGGAATCATACACATGTGGACTTTCTTGACTGTTTCTTTCACTCAGCATAGTGTTTTCAAGGTTAATCTACATTGTAACATTTGTCAATATTGGTTTAAACAGTCCATTATATAAATTTACCACTTTTGATTAATCCATTCATCAGCTGATGAACACTTAATGGCTGTTTTTAGATATCCCTTTGTCTTCTAAATCAGGATCACAAGTATTTTACAATTTTGGTATCAATGACCACCCCTCTTCAGCTGTCTTTGATTTTATAATTTTTTTTTTTTAATACCGGGATCAAACTCAGGACCTTGCACTTGCAAGGCAGGCACAGTGCCACTGAGCTAAATCCCCAGCCCTGTTTTTACAATCTTGAACAAAAAATTTCTCTATGTAATTAGAGATCTACATTTTAAAATCTAAGGCACATTTGTCTAGTCATCCCAAATTCCCTTTCTATATCTTGCTCTTCTGAAGAAGAATTTCATAATATAAAAATCTTTGCCAAATACATAAATCAAAAATAAAATGCTATGCTTTCAGCAAAATAATATGCTTATAGAAGGCTAAAAGGCTTCCACGATGGCTAAATTTTCCTTCTATAGTAGATCTGAGAGATGTATCCACATATTCATTTTCATTTATTCATAAATACTGTTTTTGAACCTGATGAGAATTGATTCAGTTATCTAAGATAGACCCAACACACCTTTCTCTCAACTTTTGACTATGATTTCATCCTTAGATTAGCGGGTCATCATTTGTGCATACATACAATGTATCTTCCATCATTTGGGGGTGAGTAGGTTGGTTGTTTTTTTATTTTGAACAAGGAATCACATACTCAGAATTTCCTGGGCACAAGTCTCCAACAAATCTTGTCAATAACCACAATCCTAATTACTTCAGCATATTAAAACTGCAATTTACCTTTATTCTTATGGGCAATCCTGGGGCAGAAAAAGGATATCCCATATCCATATCCTAGTGGTTGATCTTTTAACTGTGATAACTGTGTCTTTTCCCTACACTCATTTCCCCTTCACAAAGCTCCTTCCTCTTTGGTCAAGGTCATCTCCTCAAGCAAATTCCTGTCTCTGCATCTTCACTCGTATAAGTACACTTCTTTTTTTTTTTTTTGTACAGGGGATGGAACTTAGGTCCTTGTGCTTGCACAGCAGGCGGCAAAACCACTGAGCTAAATCCCCGGCCCTAAGTACCCTTCTTGAAATACACTCCTGCTTGACTGTGCTCCTTCAGGTTTATCTCAAGTGCAACATGAGAGCACTCACTCCAGTTCCAGGCACATACTCCTAGCACACTACAGCAGAAAGAACCAGGATTTAGAATTAGTCATGACTTTGAAGCCAACTTACATGGCCAATGGACATTTCATCATCTGTATGGCAGGCAAAATAATTCAGACTACTAAAGCTTTCTAGAAAGATTAAATGAAACTAACTGGAAACTGCCAAGCACAGTACCAGCAGATAAGAGGATTTAATATATATTAATACCTTTCTCTTCACAAAGGCTTATTTGACCATGTAAGTTTAGTGGTCATTCTGTCCTAAGCACAAGTACTGAATCATATGTATCTTGGAAAAAGAAGCAAATGACCACCTCTCAAACTGTTTAGACAACTAGCACTACTCGATGTGATTATCAAAAAGGTGTTATTTCATTGTGTGTTACTTAAAACTATTTCAAAAACTGAAATTGTTCCAAACAGAATCTCTATCCATGCCTTTTCAAGGCAAGAATCCCTACCTATGATGATCCTGCAAAGTGAAAGCCACAAGAAAGGCTTTTCCCTTACCTTGTGGGTTATCCATTCGCGTCCATACTGATAGACATTGTTAGCCGCAGAATTTAGGGCTCTTTGGAACACCTGTGCTTCAGGAAGCCAACTAATTTAAGCAGGGGGAAAAAACGTGTATTTTTAGTGTGTTGTTCCAATAACGCCATAACCTTGATATACAAATTAAACAAGTTGTTGACCAGTCATTAATGCACAGATACAAATGTACCACAAGCAGGAATCCTTTGCCTAAGACTAGCTAACCAATCTGTCCTAAGCATTTAGACCCACTGTTTCCACAGCCTCCCTTTCATTCTACTCTGGTTTCTCTGTCCACATATGTCCTGCTTCACCAGACTATGCAACACCAGGGGAAGTAGTTCTGGGACGAGGTATTTAACATCTGGGTCAAAGTTCTCAGAGTGTGGTCCATGGCATGTAATGATTTTGCAGTGTAAGGATATGAAGAGGAAAGTTGTATCTCCAAACATAAAACATGATTTGGGAGAAAGTAAGAAGCTTTTAAATTACTCTAGTATTTATTATTTGGGGGGGGGGGGCAGTACCAGAGATTGAACTCTGGACCTTGCGCTTGGGAGGCAGGCACTTGGAACCACTGAGCTAAATCCCCAGCCCTACTCTAGTATCTATACTCATCAGTGCTTCAAGAGATTATTGAATATTTTCAATTGTACAGTACTATATTTTTATTCAAAATAAATATATTACTGGAATATATATATATAATGTTATTAAAAAATGTGGGGATTTGCAGAGGTATCTGAATAGATCCTTAATGATAGACAAACATCTAGTAAAGTCTGGAAAAAGTTCTGGCTGCTGTGGAAACCATTTGCCAACATACTTATGCAGGTGTCCTAAGAGCATTAGATGAAAGACCTGCTATAAAGGTATTGACTTAATCCTGACCTCCCTGCAATGAGACAAATGGCCAGAAATACCTGAGCAACCCAGGCTGGGATGAATGGGTGTGTGCCTCAGTCTGACACCATCACAAGTGCTCACCCAGTCACTACACTCAGACAAGAGGGGTATCTCGGCAGAAACCAAGTCTCTACATAATTTGGACTGGCCTACCCTCTCTTTACTGAGTAAAAGTTAATATCTATCATCATAAGGCCTGCCAAGACAACAGCCCTGATTAAAAATAATGGTTTGGCCCACTGGTTTTCATCCAAGTGAGGGGAGGACCGAGCGATATTCAGCACTATTTTAGTCCTATCTCCTAATGAGTCCTGAGATACATAAATCATGATGCTTGACAGTAGTCAGCATAGAGTAGAAAATGAGCTCCAGACTATCAGAATTGTCCCAGATAAGAGTAAGAGCAGCTGGCACAAAGGAAAGTTTGCTCTGCTTAAGAAGGAAGGAGACAAGACTGCTGTCAAATAGATCACAGTTAACTGAGAGGGTTTTTCACAGCATGGAAGCAGGGTGACATTAGGATAGAAGCAAAATGCTGATAGTGACATACAGACAGGCAAGGGCCTGAGGTAGAGCATATCTTAGCCCAGGGCTGTCCCAGAAATCTACATGGCCTCAGTGTTCATCTCTTAAGGGTGCTTGTTGACAAATTTCTGTTGAATGCCCCAGCCCTTCTCATCTACCAAGCAGAATCTGGGGTGAGCGCCAGCAATCCACACGTCTAACAGGCACTCCCACTGCTGCTTCTTCAAGCTCCAGTTTGAGAACTCAGCAAAACATGAATCAGGAAAGGACATGGACTACACACCACAATGATACCCAGGGCACCCACACTGTTGCAAACTTTGGGCAAAGAAATGCTCCAGTAAGCACCCTCAGTCGTAAGACTATTGGCAGAGAATTAGGATGTGCTCCCACTACAATCTCATTTCCTCTGAACCACTATTAGAATGACCCCACTCTAACTTATCCACCAGCTCAAACACATTGACATATAAAATGTGCACCAACTTGGAAGGAAGTACATCTGACTTGCTCATAACCATCTCCTCCACTAGGAGTGGACATGTGAATTTCCCCAAGGTCCACTGCCTTGCTCATGACAGAAACCCACTGAACGAGCAGGAAGCACTCCAACTACCTCATGTCCACACCCATGCCATCCCCATCAATCTATTGCTGAAGAATCAGACCTTCCTCACAATACCAAAGTCTAAGCAACTTTTAAAAATCTCCCTGCCCAGAACATTATAAGGGAATTATGCTAAGTGATCAAAAGCCAATCTCAAAAGCCTGTATACTTCATAATTAGATTTTTTTTTTTCATACCAGGGATCGAACTCGGGTCCTTGCACTTGCGCAGCAGGCGGCGAAACCATTGAGCTAAATCCCCGGCCCCATAATTACATTTTGTATCATTCTTAAAATTATATTATTTATAGGTATGAAGAGAGCAGTGGTTGCTTAGGATTAGCAATACTACAGGAGAACAGAGAGTAGATGTAGATATAAAGGGTGGCATGAGGAGATCTGTGACAGAGCAGTTCTGTAACTTGAGTGTGTTGATGACTTGCATGAAGCTACACATATTATAAAATTACAGGGAACAGTGCATGCAAAACTAGTGAGAAATCTGAAAATGGCATATTACATTAGTGTAATATTTCCTAGTTCTGTTACTGTATTACAGTTATGCAAGATGACAGACAACATTGGAGGAGGTAGGATGAAGAGTACATGGAACTTCCCAGTACATGTCTTACAACTCCATGTAAATCTGTAATTATTTCAAAATTTAAACCAAACAAACAAAACACCCACCTACAATTACGTGGTTTCAAGCTACTCAGACTCTGTGTGCCTTCAAAACAGTAGTAGAAATGGTGCTTTACAATTCAAAACCAGCATGGAAGAGCTCGGGTTTATTTCTACTAGATAGAATGACCAGCAAAGAAAAGAAGCCCTTCGGATATGAGGCTAAAACTGAGCTACAGAAGACAATACCTGAAGAAGGTCTACCATCCTTCTTCTACCTACTTGTTTGGATTCCAAGTGGCTTCTTCCTAAAATCTAATTGCTGGTAAACATTGGTTCCTCCTTTTCCTCACTGTCACTTCAAAATGTATTATGTTTAAAGAGCCACAGGGCAGAAGACCTCACTTTCTACTTCAAAGGGATACTGATCCCTTTTTCCTAGTCCCATCTCACTAAACTCACAGCCACACCCATGCTGATTTGTTTTCCTCAGTTTGTACCACGAGTCTATCTCATGCTTCATCCTCAGAGAAATTCACTAATTATTCCTTGGTCTTAAGATTTTCAATTCCTTCTAGTCTCCCAATTCTTTCCCATCAATGTATAAGTAAGCTTCCTGCATCTTAAATTTTAAAAATCTGTTGGACACCTCCCTCCAACCCCTACCTACTCTTTCACAGACAAATATGGGAAAGAACAGTTTATACTTAACATTCTCTTTCCCCATTTCCTCACTTCCCAGTAATTTCTCAATACAATGCAATCTAACTGGGTTCTGCCCTGCCAATTAAACGGATTGCTCTTGCAGTCACTAAATCCAACTTTACTCTTAACCTTATTTTCTCTGCAGCAAATCTGTGCAATACACAAGTGTGTGTGGAGCTGAGAATTGAACCCAAGGCCTTAGGCATACTAAGCACACACTCTTCCACTGAGTTACCCTCCTAGCCGCTCTGTGGTAATCAGATGTGTGCTTGCCGTCGCCCCCTTAATTTTCCTCTTGCTTTTCTTACAGCCCATTCTCATTCTACTTTGCCAACCTATTATTTTTTTTCTCAGCCTTAAAGACTAGAGATGGTCCTGTGGGCACACAGTCAGACATCCTCTCTACACATTACATACACTCTTTCTTTATGCTCCACAGTTCCAACCCAGGCCTCTCATGATTCCTGAACCCCACACTATCAATTTACCCCTGATTTTTAGCACTGCACAGCTGCTTCCTACATAGCCACTTATACTTATTACTGCTAACTAAAGCTCAGCAGATAAAAAACTGAACTATTTCCTCCACTAAATCTGCTCTTCTGTTTCCTGACTTTGTGAATCCACATTAATTCCCAAAGCTAGAAACAAGTCATACTAGATTTCTTTTTCCTATATCCAATTAATTACTAACTAACCTACTTAAGACCACACAAATCTATCTACTCTGTTCACTCCCACTATAACTGTTCACAGTTCAGGACCTCAACACCTCTTATCAGGTCTACTCTAGGAGCTTTAACCGGTGTACAAGGCTCACTCTTTTCTCCACAATGCAAATGGAAAAGACATGCATAGAATGAAATCTTATACTACTTCTCGTCTTGTATCCTGAATCAAGATAATGAACATATCTATCACTTCCTTGAACCCCTTTGTATGCCCTTCCTGTAGTCCCACTCCACTTTGATTTGTAGGCAATCACTCATCCTTCTGTTACTATAGTTGAAGATATACCTTCCACTCTCGAACTTAACATAAAACTATGACACTTTTTGCCTGATTTCTCACTTAGCATGCTTGATTCATTCATGTTGGTGCATGTACTTTTAGTTCATTTGTATTTAATGCTGAATAATATTCCATTGCACAGATATGCCACAGTTTGTAACTGTTACAGTTTGGGTCTAGATGTTTCTCCAAAGCCTCATGTGGTCATAGGCTTGATCTAGGGTGTGAAGCTGGAATTGATTCATGATACAATGCTAGGCTTAAGGGCACAAGGATTAAGGGTGCAAGTGCTACCTGCCCTAACCAGTCTGAATAAGATAAAAGGAGCAGAGAGACACTGTTAAGTCTCTCTTGTTACCTTTGCTGCCTTGTGCGCACCACATTGTTTCTGCTCTGCCATCCCTGTTTGTCATCCCTGCCTTGCAATCAGCCGATTATGGACTGAAATCTCTACAAACTGTAAGCCAAATAAACCCTTCCCCTTTAACTTTTGGTGCTGGGTATTTTGTCTCAGCAAGGAGAGAAAAGTAACTAACACAGTAACTAAAAAGAAATACTAGGGGCAAGCACTCTTGGCATGCTCTAAATATGGTAAGTGAGTAGAAATACATTTTGGAAAAAAACTCTTTTAAGAATATTCAAATGTGATTCTAAACCAAGTTTGAGTAATGTCCCAAGCAGGATTTATTAAAAGAAATAGAGTCTAAGGAGAAAATCAGGGCTGGGAATGTGTCTCAGTGGCAAGGTGCCTGCCTACCATGCACAAGGCTTTGGGATTATCCCCAATACTGCAAAACACAAAGGAGAAAATCAAGTTCAATTTTAATTTACAATTCTAAAATCAGCTAGTAAGTACCTACCTGGGGGTTAGTTAAAAAAAAAAGGAGGTCATATCATTTGTCATCAAATAAACAGCATAGCTTTGCTGAACATTCCTCACAAAGACCTAAAACCCTTCTTACAAAAGCCAAATTAAACAAGTACACAAAGATTCTTGAGGCAGAGTTCAGCAAACTTCTGTAAAGAGCCAGAAAGTAAATATTTTAGGCTTTGCAGAACATATACTCTCTGCCACAACTATTCGATTCTCTCTGCCCTTGCAGTCCCGAATCAGCTACATACAATAAGTAAGTGAATAAGCATAGCTATGCTGCAAGTAAAACTTTATTTACAAAGCAGGTGGCTGGATTTGGCCCCGAGCCATGGCTTGCCTACTCCTTCCCAATAATATACAAAATGGGAATATGGCCTGAATTATATAGAAAGTTGAGGAATCACAAGTTACAATGGAAAGTTCCCCTCAGCTGGCTGGAAGCACTGGCTGTCTGCCACTGAGGAATTACTATCTCAAGTCCCTTAACTTATGATCCTGCTTCCTCATTTGTGAATAGGGTCACATTTGCAATCCACCTCAGTCGCTGTGAGAGACAAGTGAGATATGTACGGTAGATGATATCATCTACCATACAATGTTCCTAAAATCTTAAACACTCCCCTCTCCCTTTCCCCAGTATTACATGCCATTCTTCTGCAAAAATTACATTATTTATCAAAGCTTTGGCAAATCCTATCCTTCATCTTCCAATATAGCTGTATTACTGAAGATCATTTCAGGCAAGCAGATACTGAAACTAGGTCATCCATATCTATTCTTTTTCAAAACAATATTCTTACTTTGCCCACTCAGGGTGATTTGCTAGAGTTTCATTAATCAAATTACTTGTGACTTCAATCATGTGTACACTCTCTTGATGTACCTGTATTATGGATAAAGAGAGAAAAGAATCTCAGTAAGTAACAAGTTTAATTTAAAATATATATTTTTTACTGTTATTGGAAAAATGCTTTTAGAATTAAATAATTATGCATCTTGGTTGGAATTAATTTAGAAACATGCACCAAAAAGTTGCAATATGTAATCCTATGACACATACTATGAGAAATAGCAAGCACATTATAACTCTGCCTTTAAGAAGCTCAATAATTTAGTTAAGAAAAAAAAGAGATGCATACTTAACACATATGCCTAAGCATACAGAGCTTACATATACACCTGTGTGAATATATACTGTGTGTGTGTATGTATGCATACAGCACAAACACTCTGTGAGCTACCAGAAATCACATACTGCAGGGTGAGATATGCACACAAGAAAACAACCGAGGAAGATTTCTGAGTACAAAAAAACCTAACTCAAAATGCGCCTGACTTTTTCTTCCACAATAACCAACAAAATGAGAGGGATGAAAAAGGAAGAAACCATACTGGTAAAAAGTTCACCTACATCTAAATAAGAAAAGAAACATAAGTGATGCTATTTGGAGCAGAGGATCAAGTAAAGAAACCAAACATTCTGGAGCACAACATACAGGTCTAAGGGCTCACCCTTAAACTAATGCCCATACCCAGAAGCTTACAGGTGAGCTGACAAATTCTTGCAATGCACATGTAACATGAGAATCTGCTGAAAGAAAACCATATCCTTATCTTTTTCTGACTGAAGAAAAATGGCAACCACAGCAAAGGAGAAATGGGTAAATCAGGGGAAAGAGACCAACAGTGTCGCACTGACCCCATCCCATCTCTCACTGACTCTCATCCTCCTGCGCATGAAAGCTTTAGAATATGTAAGGAACTGGGAGAAACAATGTAAAGTTTGAAGATCTTTTTCCACAGGAATGGGTATGACCTTATCCAAGTGACAAAATAAACACCAGTGCAAACCACATACAAATGACCAGAACAGAACAGAGTCTAGTTATCATAACAAGGTACACCAAGATACCCATGCTGTCACCCCAACCCAGTTCCAATTCTCTCAGGACCCAGAGAAAGTACAGAGAACACACACACACACACAAACCAGCTGCAGTCTGAAAAGGAAAACAAACTGATTTTAGACACAATGGGGAAACAGTAACTCAAATAGAATGCCTGAAAAAAGCTGGACCAAACAAGGCCTTACAGGTTCTTGTGAAAAATCCAGCTTTCACTTTGTGGGATCTGGGAAACCACAGAGGGCATTAAGCTTAGAAGTGACATAATGTTACCTAAATTTTAAAAGTAAAATTGGAAGGTGTGTTGAGAACAGTGAAGCAGGGAAATCAGTTAGGAAGATATTTCAATAGCTCAATCAAGGGACTGACAGATCTGAGCAAGGCACTGGTAGTAGAGATGGTAAGTAACTGGATTTGGGATACAGCTGACATTATTTGACTCTTGGAAGTTAATTCAATCTCGCATTCCTGAACTCAATCTCACCTGGTTATGATTTAGCATCCTTTATATACATTGCTGGATTTCATCTGTTAACATTTGTTAAGGATTTTTGTGTGTTTGTAAAAGGTATTGATCTGTAGCTTTCTTTGCATGTCTTTGACTTCGGTGTTTGGGCAGTGAGCTTCAAAGTGAGCTAGAAGTGCTGCTTCTTCCTCCGCTCTGTGAAAAAGTTGTGCAGGACAGGTAACATGTCTTCATTGCATACTTGAGAAAACTCACCAGTGAAACCATTTGAGCCTAAACTTTTCTTTGTAGGAAGATTTTCGCACACTAATTCAGTTTCTTTTCTTGATATAGAACCACCCAACTGTTCTATTTCTTAAATTAGACACAGAAGGCTAATTATCACAAATTTTCCCTTATATGAAAAACTCAGAATATAAATAATTTAAAGAGCAAAATAAAGAGATGGTAGGAAACAGGTTTATCTGTAGACTTTTTGAAGATGGTAAGGGGTTCTGGGGAAGGGGGAAAGATGAGTGAACTAATCAAGATGGTAACATGCATACGTACCAATTCCCACAAACAAATGCAATTATTATGTTCTTAAATATATGAGTAAAAAACTTTTTAAAAAGTTTTTCTAGGGCCGGGGATTTAGCTCAGTGGTGCCGCTGCCTGCCTCGCAGCAAGCGGAAGGTCCCGAGTTTGATTCCGGGTACCAAAAGAAAAAAAAAGTTTTTTCCATTTCTTCTCACATTTGTACCATTTCTTCTTTATAAGAAATCTCTCCATTTAATCTAAATTATCAAATTTGATGGCATAATTTGTTTACAATACTGTATTCTCTTTTTCTCTTTTTTTTAAGGATAAGATTTCAGTATGTAACTGAGGCTGGCCTCAAACTCTGCCTCAGCCTCTGGAGTGTAGACAGTACAGTCATGTCCCACTATGCCTATCCTCCTTCATTACCCTTTTAAGATCTAGGAGGCATGTAGTAATGTCTCCGCTTTCATCCTTTGGATTGTCTGGATTGTTATTTTCTTTTCATCAATCTAGCTAAACATTTATATTTTATTCATATTTTTGAAAAAAGGATTTTTATTAATGGTTTTCCTATTTTTTTCTCCATTTCCAAATTCACTGATTTGCCCTTGATCTTTATTTCCTTCCATTTACATTGAATTTACTTTTTTTGGTGGCTTCTTTAGGCAGAAACTTGCATCACTAACTTATTTTCTATAATTTAATGCCACAAATTCTCTTCTAAGCACTGCTCTGGAAGCATGTTACAAATTTTGATATGTACTGCTTCATTTGCATCCACTTCAAAGTCTTTTCTAATTTCCCTTGAAACTTTTCATTGGTAAAAAATTATCTACAGTTGCTTAATTTCTGAGTATTTGGGAATTTCTCTGACTTAATTCTGGTAGTGATCAATCAATTCTACTGTATCAGACAACATGCTCTATACTTCATTACTTCCAAATGCATTGACCATACTGTTTACCCTGGTAAGTCTTCCATGTTTACTTGAATGTAATTCCAATTGTCAATTACATGAGGGTGATGACACTGTTTTAAAAAATTCTAAATGCTCATTGATTTTCTATTTATTCTCTCAATTATTACAAGAGTAATACTGATCTCTAATCATACATTCTTCTATTTCTCCTTCTAATTCTGAATGTTTGAAATATATTGTAGAGCTACATTGTTAGAAGGATATATATATATAATCTTTATGCAATATTAAGAATTATGAAAAGTCCTTATTTTTGTATAGTAATATTTTTAAACTCATATTGTAAGACATTAATATAATCACACCATATCTTTTGTGACTCTTACAGGTACCATTTAGTTTACAACTTATGGATTTAAGTCTGTCATTTCCTCTCCTCTCCCTCCTTTAAAGTCTTGTGTTCAGTAAGCTTTTTTTGTTTTTGTTTTTTTCACTTTACCATTTTAGTTCCCCTAAACTTTACATTATTTAGTGGTTGCTATTTAACTTATCTAAAACTTTTTCTTTTTCCTGCACAGGGGACTGACTCACACTGAGCTACATTCCCAGTCCTATTAACTGACTGACTGACTTAGGCAGGGTCTTGCTAAGTCACTGAATTGTCTAGGTTGAGCTTGAACTTGCAATCCTCCTGCCGCAGCCTCCCAGGGCACTGGGATTCCAAGAATGGACTACCATGCCCACCTTCTCACATTTCTAATTTATCAAATTTTACTTCAAGCTAATACTGATCTATATCCACAAAAATTTTCATAATACCTGCACACTAGTATAGTTTCCAACCTCTTCCCTGTGCTGTGGTATACTAGATTTATATACTACATATGTCTAATTCATCCATATATATTATAAAGTCCACAATTGAGTGTCATAATTTTTCTTTAAACTCACATGGTTTAAATAAATTAAAAGAAGAGAGGGGGAAATACAGCTTTTACATTTATCTATATGTTCACCAAGTGCTCTTTATTCCTTTAGTCACTTCTCTCCGATCTGAAGGAATTCCTTTAGCATTCCTTACAGTGCAGGTATGCTATCAAAAAACTCTGCTTTAGTTTGCCTAGAAATATTTTTATTTTTCCTTTACTTTTTTTTTTTTTTTTTTTGAAACAAGGTCTCACTTTGTATTCAGGCTGGCCCTGAACTCTCACTGATCCTCCTGCCTTAACCTCCTGGGTGCTGGGAATACAGGCCTGCATCACAACATCCAGCAGGAAACAGTGATACATACCTTCATCTGTTTTGGCCACTGTGAGAAAAAACCTGAGAATGGATGCTTTACAAACAACAGAATTTTTTTTTTTTTTTTTT